AAAAAGCAAAAAGACTTCATTCATTTTTCTTTCTTCCTGAATTGAAGCAATTCATTTTGAGACAAGCTTGGCAGAAGCTCAGACTGTGTTATGTAGGCTCTAGGCTGGCAAAATAGATAGTTCTTGATATTCCAATGTTGCTTTGGTGGTGGTGATGGTGGCAGTGATGGTGAGGGGAGGAGATCAAGTCATTTTTCAAAGTTCTAAGTCAATGATGTTCTAATGAGACCAATATGAGAGAATTAAAGACTAATGCAAAGGTTATCACAAGCCCAACATCTATAAATTAGATCTTTTTAAATTTTTCCTAAGGCCGTGGTTCTCAAATTTTTACAAATGTAAGAATCACCTGGAAGGGTAAACACACAGACTTTGGGCTCCTCCCCCAGAGTTTCTGATGGGGGTCCAGGGAGAGAATTATCCTTTCTGACAAGTTCCCAAGGGATGAGGATGCTGATGCTGACGGTCTAGGGACCCCACTTTGAGAATCACTGACCTAAAGGAACCTTCACAATAAGTATCTGTAATTATTCCAAGCAATGAAAATTTCAGTAAATTAGACTTAATTAGAATTAGTTTGAATTTGTTTTCATAAAGGCTATAGAAATTTTTTGAATGTTGCATAAATATGCATGATCTCTACCTAGACACCAAATAAATGTTCTTAGGGGTACCAATCTGATGAGAATGCTGGTACATACAAATGCCTTTCTATTTGCATTTTAATTATTTGAAAACTAATTTTGCTCACAAATGTGTTCCCTAGTACAGCAATCATTTCCTCTATTATTCAAGGCTTATCAAAACAACCCATTAATAAAATAGATCAACACAAAATGTTTTAAGATGTGAAGAAAGTAAGGTTCCAAAGAATGATTCTCACAACCTTGAAGAAAATAAATAAAATAGAAACCTAGAACTCCCTCACTGAACTATCAATGATGATTATTGGACATCTTAAGGGGAAGTAAAAAGCCACCTTTGCATCATTTCTGATGACCTGTTTTGGATCAACCATTGTTCACCTAACTTTTTCTGGGCAGTCTTAGATTCTGAACTTGTTTCCCTTCAGGCTTTTTCATAAACAAATAATTAGAAATGTCTCTAAGGAGGGGAGAGGCCAGTTCCTCATTTCAGCTCGTATCAGGGTTGCGAGCACTCAGTTGGGCAGGGTCCATTGTCACAGGTGTGGGACCTGTTGCTCCGAGCCCTCACCTCATCTGGCAGCTCGCTCTGTGGTTCTGCAGACTGCGGATTATCAGGGCCCCCCTGGACAATGTCACATTCAGCGACAGACCATCCCACAGGTATTAAAGGCAACATTCAGCTGCTCTCTGGGTTTCCCTCTTGCACTTTCCGTTTGTTCAGGTCCTGTTGCTACCAGCTTTGCTTAATCTTGTTTTGCTGGTCTTTCCAGGTCTAATGAGAGTTAGTGAATCATTAATCCTCATGGTTTAAGTCCTAGTAGAAGGAGATGGCTTCCCCAACAGTATGGGTGGGTGTTTGCTGGATTCTTAAAGCTTGGGAGGTCAAAGACCGGTGAATTTTCTTTACAGTGATCATGTATTGATTTCGTCTTTTAAACGTAAAGAATAGTTAGCATGGACTGATTTCCTGTTAACTTTTGACTCCTTACCATGTCTTCTAGGGGGAGTATTGAGGGAATGGCCTCCCAGGAGCCTTGGCCATTATTCCATTTAATTCCTGCAACAAGCCTGGAGGAAGGTACTTTCATGCCCTTTTTATAAATGCTGTACAGAGGCTGGCGGAGAAGAAGTGGCTTGTCCTAGGTCACACGGTTAGTTGGCAGCAAGACTAGGAGAGAAACCAGATCCATTTACTCCAACTCTTGGGCTCTTTCTACCTCTCTGCAAACCACCTCCTGAAGCCCTGCTGTAGTTAAAATTTCTCCATGTCTGCGGTGAGTCATGCCAGCAGTTGCTATTGCCTTGGTTCCAATATTTAAGACATTGATTAATAAACAATACTCATGTCTTAAATCCTATTGGACGTAAATAAATCTCCTGCCAGCAGCCACACCTCTGTCTGGACCTCTGTGTCCAGACAGCTAGAAAGGAAACTTAAAGGTGTATCCTAACCCCTCAAAAGAGGAGAAAAAAGGCCAAAAGGACACAGGGGAAACTCAAAGACTAAGAATTCTGATGTAACTACCATGCAAGCGCCTACGTAAGCATACTGAATTCCTTTAATATTGCTGCTGCGTAGAACTTGCACAGTCCTCTGAAGGAGAAAAATAAGAGAATCTCCTGGGTGTATACAGGCATGAAAGTACCTACAACTCTGGTGCTCAGCTCAGCCGTTTGATTGTTGGGAGAATGAGGAACTGGCCCCTCCAGGAAGCAGCAATATACCTAACTTTATCGGTGGCCAGAACAGACCTTTTCATTCTTCTCCAGCAAAGCTGCTATCGACCTTTAGAGCAGCAGCCAGAAATTACCAATCTAAAACCGTAACTAGTTCAACCCCACCTTAACTAAATGTAAGTGTTCAAGCTGGTGTTACCCTCTGTCCTCCACCACCCAAAAAAGGATACCTCATGCACCGTAGTTCTACATGAGAAGTTCTGTAACAACTTGAGTCCTAAACTCAAAATATTTAAGCCGACTCAAGAATTTCAGATTTCTTTTGTAAATAAGAATCGAGTTGACTTTAGGTGGTATCTAAGTAGTTCCTCGAGCAACTCTCCAGTCTAAAATCTAATACCAGTTAGTCTGACCTCACACAAGATGAGAGATAGGAAGTAAATATGAGAGATCATGGAGTCCCCAAAATCAATGTCATAACAGTGTATGACAATGTTATAACATTAGGCTCCTTCTCTTTACTGATAAGAATAAATCTAAGAGCCTATTAATTGTCTCCATACAAGGTTGTGCAACTTCTATGTCTGAAATAGATTAAAAGAAACAAAGAGGAGAGAGAGGCTGCCATAGGCAAGTACACAAAGTATAATGGGAAGTGATGCATAAAAATTAGGGAGTACATCAGTGTGGGGCCATTTAGTGTGCAGGTAAATTGTCAGATGCTGTAAAAACATGTAACAGTTATTGTATTTCCCACAGAACAACAGTAAACATAGTAATAATCGTACTAAAAGTACTATGAGTGATAGTCAACATAACGAAGTCAGGTCATGAGTAAAAGGTTTACTGGTTTTCAGCATTCCCTATATCAAGTTGAAGAAGTAAATAATACACTGTAGAAAGAGTTCTAAAAAGTGTTGTTAATGCAATTAAAATTATATAACACTAAAAAAGTAAATTATTAGCCATCCTCAAATTTTGGCTATCCAAATGTGGTCATTCCCAAAGGGTTCCATAGTGCTGAGTTTCACTTTAGAATTTCAGACTTGCTACAACTATTACTGGGGACCTCAGGATGTTTAGTCAACTACTGATGTTCCATCCACAGACAATCGTACACAGTCTGAACCACCTTCCACATTGTCCATGGCAAGGGAAGACAGTTCTATCATCTGTTCCACGGTCCCATGCCTAGTCTGTAAATAATCAAAGGTTAACTCTCGTGCAGTAACTGACAGGATAGGTAAGGACTGATGTATTCCCACACATGAATAGCTTCTTCATGTGGGAAACTACAAAATACTAGAACTGTAAGTCACATCCATGAATCAAGTTGTCAAATGACAGAATCAGCTTTGCTTGAACATAGGAAGAGCTTAATCAGGAGGTAATTCTGTATGTGTGAATCCTAGAAGACACCTCTAATCATGACGAGTAGGTTACCTGGTGGCATCTGGGTTTTTCTTCTCAAACTGGCAAGTCATTTTTCCAAAACATGGGCATCGATGAAATCTAAAATGTTTTTTGCCAGATACTTTACATCGATAATCTCTGAAGTCATGTCTCATTCTGTTATTTAAAGCTTGAGGGAAGAGGCCTTGTTTTCCTTGTTTTTATATCCCTGGAATCCACCAAAGTGCATACATACATACATTGTGCGGAACGTAAGGAGAATTTCATGTATATTTGGTTCTCTTAAAATGGAGTAATCAAATGATGAGGGGCAACATGGTTTCCAAGAAGTATCTTAAGTTACCAAAGATTTTTTTTTTTGAGACAGAGTCTTGCTTTGTTGCCTGGGCTAGAGTGCCATGGCATCAGCCTGGCTTACAGCAACCTCAAACTCCTGGGATCAAGCAATCCTTCTGCCTCAGCCTCCCAAGTAGCTGGGACTACAGGCATGCGCCACCATGCCCGGCTAATTTTATAT